CTCTTTGAGCCAATTAAAAAAGTGTCCTCAAAATTTGGTGGCGCCCTCTTCACAAAAGCGCACTCTTTGCGAACAGAGTTACCCTACTTGAGTTTAAAAAAATCAAAATGAAACTAGCAAGTTTTGGCATAAATTTCGGAAGAACGCTTTTTTTTAACGGTTACGCTGACAAAAAAACCTTCAGGTCAGCAGGAAGGAAATAACGCGATCATTACGTAACGAGGATCAAGTCATAAGGAACTGGTCACACAAAATATACATATTAATATATATGTATATGATACAAGTAATAGAAGTTCGGGGGTCATGCGCACTTACGAGTGTGCCGGTTTGAGGTTTACGTCAACAACAGCGGAATGGAGGGGGTCACGGTTGACGCAACATAATAGAAGAGCAGTGTGAAAACTGGGAGGGATATTTATGTTGGACTAAGAAAGCCAAGAGTTGGTACAAGCACACATAATACAAAAGTACACATTACAGCAGTTAGTGATATTTACTCGGCGAGCTTTTGTGTAGAGAGTGCAGCCAAGTCCGAGAAAGTTGACTTTGACTTTGACCGAGTGCGTTCGGTTGATCGGATGTGGTTCTGAATAGACCTCTTGCTCTGGAGCCACTCTCAGAGTTCAGAGAATAATAACATCTTTTTCCTACGTCATTTTCTCATTCTCACCCCCCCCCCTCCCCTAAAAAAATAAGATCTACAAATTATCAGGTCAAATGTGAACCCGTTAGAAAACAGGAGAGATTAGGTGCTTGCTCTTTTGCCAAACCACCCCAGTTCTAGTTTCGATCCCTGGTACGTGCAGTGAAAAGTAAAGTTGTTCCCGCATCCGACCGGACATTGGGGATTGCCTTGTTAGTGAGACAACTTCCTAGCTGGGCCTTCGGCATATTGTGGTAGGGTGGCCAGTTCCTTTCCACGCGGCCTTTATTTCCCCAACTCGAAGTCAGGTACCCATTACTGCTGAGTGGGCAGGAGGGGGCGAAATAATCCGTGTCCTAACCGAGACTCGAACCCGGACTTTCCATTTCGGAGACGAGAGCACTAACCGCCCCCACCGCACGTGCAGTAACGGAAGATACTTGGTTGTTTGGGGGTTTTTTTTTGGGGGGGGGGGGGGTTGTATGGAAATTTTTTTAAAGGTTTTGTTTGGGGGGGGGGGGGGGGGGTGCCCAGATCCAAGAACAAGCGTCATCAAGTAATTTTTAGAAAAAGTAATTGTAAAGTTACCTGGCGTCATGCTCCCAATAACTTCTCTGTTTTCTTTATTAGAGGTGAGTTTTTCTTGAAATATCTGTCCGGTATCACCGTGACGTCTGCACCAGTATCCATTCTATACTTAACTGGCTTTCCTATTGTAGTTATTTCTGCGTGCCACAAGTCATCGTTGCTTTGCACGCCCTGACACCATACTCGTTTTCCAGCTGTAGTGTTCCCAGGAAAATGTCTTCAACTTGTTTACCGACTTCTTGTCTTTGTTTCTACAAGCTGTGTAGAAGTGTCCTCTCTTTTTGCATCAGTACACCACCCATGCCATAGGATGATGCATCAGCTGATATCTTTGTTGACTTTTGAGGACTGTAGTGAATGAGTAAAGGTGCTGTACTCACCTGTTTCTTTAATGACTGGAATGTTTGTTCCTGCGGATCATCCCAGGTCCATATTGTTTCTTTTCTTAGTAAATCTCTCAACGACTTTGTCCTTTCTGCCAGACCGGGTGCAAACTTTCCTGTGTGATTCAACATGCCTAGGAAACTTCGGACATCGGCTATCTTTTCTGGTCTCGGGAACTTTGTGATGGCTTCCACCTTTTCTGGGTCTATTTGTATGCCTTCTTTG